GCCGTGTATTTTACACAAGTTTGCATAAATTCCGACCAGACAACATGATCCATAAAGCCATTTTATTTCTGCTGTTCATTTTGCTGCACTAACTTCTCTATCTGCGTCTCATCCACGCCGTCCAGGAACTGTTTTATTCTGCACCAAAACTTCGATAATATACAGAGGAAACTTTAGTCAAGCACAGAAATTTCCACTGGATTTTTAGTAATTTTTGAAAGCTTCTTAGCGATTTCAAAGGTGTACTTATTCTTGAAAAGACGTCTTTACTGCGCTGCATCAGTGAAAATATAACAGCTTCACAAGTGGCGCGAGTGAAAGCGTGTATTTTCGCTTTCGATGTGAAAATGTTTTTTCTGCACTGAAGCAGTTTTTGGTTTTTGCCTTGAAATTGTAAGAAAATCTTTACTTCACCGGTATAAATGGAACACGGTACAATTCCCGTCTGAGGTCGAATTTTTGCTTACCACTCAATTCCATTAGATTTATTCGAAACATCTTAAACACTTCCAAAAAGCAGTAAAAAACATAAGAAATCTTGGAATTATTTAGTACAATTTCTGTCAGTTCAACTGAGTTTATGAAGCTATAATGTCCAAGCAAATGTGATAATGATTGGTTGGTGATAGCTAAGTTACAAAGATAATGAAGAATGAGTGGTGAGTAAGCAGTGGCCTCTGTGGTGAAGTGGTAGCACACGTCCCCGGTATGGATGAAACGCGGGTTAAATTCCCGTCTGATACTGAATTTTTGCTGACCACTCAATATTCTTAGGAGACAATTTTGTTCAATCGTATGGCAAGTTCCGGCCATTCATTTTCATTATATGTTGCTAATTAGATCCGCGCCTGTGCCTAAGCATAAGCAGTCTGAGCGTATACACGAGAAGGATATGAACTTCTAGAGGAAATCTCGCAGAAGCAGAGTCATGCACTCCCTCTAAAGTTCCGCACAAAGGGAAGAAATATCTCAAATTGAACAACAAAAATCACGCGCAACCTATTGACTGAACTCGCGATCATCGATCGTCCTGCGCGAACAATTTATGCGATGACGTGATGATCCAAATATGTTATTTTTTGCTTTACAACACTCTGATGCTTTTCTTAGAAGCAAAAGTAAAGTGTCGTAATTGCCAATATTTAGGCTATAAGATAATTACTGAAAGCCGGGAAAGGTCTTGTCTCCAAAGGACAAGAAACACTTCTCCATAACAGAATTGTAACCCGCTATGAAGCCTTATCGCCTGTCAAAATGCCTACTAAGTGCGAAACGTGATGTAATTTCTGCTGCCACAGCGCTTGTACAGGATTTCTTGAAGAAAATACAATATTGTATTCGTCAAGTTTTCGGCTATCAAATGATTCATGAAAACTGAGGAAACAGCGGATAAGTTGCGCGTCAAGTGCATATTTGCGCTGCTGCAGCACTCTAATAAAGGTTTTTTTTTTGAAGAATAAACTGAACTGTGAAGTATATGGAACAAGTTTTCAGTCTTTCATGAGGTCTGGCATGTCACATATACACTGCTATATATGCCTGTTTCGCCTTTCCAGGCTCATCAATAGTACAGTGTCTTTCGGTTCAGCCGATCCGTTGCAGAATATACCTCTGCTTGTAAAGGAATCAGCGCCGCATGACAAATCACCATAAGTCAGGTGATAATTGGGTGCTTACTATGGTTGATAAGAAAATTTTGAGGCACTTTATTGAGCATAAGAAAACTCCCATACATATTATATTTCATTTTCTTACGTGGAATTTTCTCATTAAAGGCCTGAATACTAATCGCCTTTATTTTCACTTTGCCACAAGTCTCCGCAATCTCCAACCATATAATCAAAGTTCGTGCTTATTCCGTCATTATTAGAGAAAATGTTTTTTACAGCGAGCTACAGTTTATTAAATCAACAAAGTAATGCGAAAGGCACAACAAACCTATTTGCTTTTGTACGCTAGCTTCAGCACTTCAACGCCGTAGATCTTAATCTCGAAGGCAAGTGTTGTTCAGGACGTCCAACAAAGTTGAACAACGAAGATTTGATTGCTACTCTGGATGCTGAACTGTCGTTAACTACTTGCGAATTGACAAACGAACTAGATGTTTCTCCTGTGCTAAGTCATCTCCATCAGCTTAACCAAGCTAACAAGAAGCCACGACAACAGCGATCAGTGCAGCACTTTCTGAAGGGTTTGAATCGTTCGATAAAGTTGTTGAAGCATGTTCGAAATTCTTAGATTCTAAGTCTAAGGAATGGTACTTCGATCAAATTCGAAACTTGGCAGATCGATGTTAGAATGTCATAGAAAGCGATAAACTTTATTTTGACGAATAGTTATTATTGTATTGTTTGATATTGCATAGGTTTTCAGTTTTCTGCAAATGCCCTGAAACTTTCTTTCCGGTCTATATCTTTATGTGGCGTTAAATCCCACCGGATTGACTGAACCGAAAGGCACTGTACTACAGACGACGTGGGAGGGCGAAACAGGCCTCTTTAGTACTGTATAATTGCGATATCAGACCACATAAAAAAGCTCAAAATATGCTATCATATTATCAGAGTATTGTTGTTTTCATCGCTTTTTGCGAGAGGCGCCGTGATCGAGTGGCTTTAATGCTCACCGTAGCGCGTCTGGAATGAAGTTCCACTCCACACTCTCTCCGGCAGTTAAGAACGAAGCCTCATGAAACGCCACACCCAGGCTAGCTATCCTCGAAGCTGCAAGGAGACTCGCTCAACCAGTATTCTACGACATTTAGAAGAAGACGAAATAACGAATCAAATACTAGAAGTACTGGGGTCCGCACATTGAAAAGAAGCGCAGCGAAGACGGATCAATAAAATGTCTAAAAATGTAAAGCTTTTGGGCGAGTTCAATAAAAGCAACGAATGAAGAGGTAAAATTTATTTCACCAGCCACGAGTTCGACTGTGCTTTTCGTGATTCCAGTGCAGTAATTGTGGAGAAGCGCGCAACCGGTGCGAAACATAATTCTACTTTGAATGCTACAGCGTTATAGAAGAATCTTTTGTGAAAAGGAGCGCTTAACGCAGTAGCCAGGGAAATAATATGAATTATTAGCAACACTCTTATGAAAACTTTTTGTCCAACAGGAAGGGATCGTCTTTATTTGTTCGCGGATTACGGAAAAGAATCATCTTCCTTTCACATAGACAGTTCGTACAAGTTTATAGTGCTGTTTGAATCTTGGATAAGGCATAGTACAAAATGTACTGTGTCGAAGAGCTTCGCTTCTCGCTTATCTGCTGCAATAACGGATTTTCGCTATAAAAAAAGCCCGTGTGTCCTGAAAATCACGATGTTTGCACCAGAAAACCACACCGCTGAAAAAGAAGCTTATTTCTAACTCTTCTTGTATGTGAGTGATACGATCATTCATCAAAGACTCAAACAGGTGAACTAGCTCATTGTTGATAAAATGAGTGAAATTTAATCCTTAGTTCACAGATTACTCGATTGAACTGAACAAAAAAAAATAATTAGCAGCAGTTTCTCCAAAATTTGTTCTGTTACGTACGATATACTAAAGTGAATGCTAAACAAGAGATATATATCATAACTTCTATTAGCAAATCGTAGGAACACTTTATTAGCGAGCAGAGATTCTGGATGAAGGACGGCAATTGTTCATTGTTTCACTATTGAACTTTCATAAATTACTAAAGACACTCAAAGTCTTGAAAGTCTTCAAAGATGTGACTATCAAAATGAATAGCCTTCTCCATGTCCACTGCGTTGAGTTGGTTGCCTAGAATTTAAGATGCGTTCAGTTCTCTTTTCAAATTAACAGAGCGTAGTTTTTTCTTTAAAATCAACAACCACTCAGTTTAATCTACTGCCAAATAGTTTTAAGTGGATAAACTCAATAAAACTTGTATATCTCTTATCCTTGCTGTCTCTTATCTTACTATCGGCATAGATTACTGGTCTGGTTCATTTACAGCCGAGTGCGTTTGGAAAGAGGTTCCACTTAGATGTGAGTTATTATACCGGCCAATTTTTTTGCTTGAACCATTTCTACACAGGTACTTGTAAGCAAAATTCATCAGATTTGAAGTTAAGAAATGTGTTTTGAAAAAAGACCATGAGAATATACTTCCATCATTATTTGAGCCAACTTGTCATGTGGTCTGGTAAGCGCTCTTGTACTACTCGATACACGTGTTTCGTCCTTACAGACTCATCAGCCGGGCAGAAAACGTCGTCTGTCGATCTTTTTATAGTCAGTTCTCTCTAGAGCCTTGCACTTCTTATACAGAATCATGGACGACGTACGCTTTACACGTTGTGCACTCGACTGCTCATCGGGGACCGTAAGAAGTCTGAAAGGTAGCCTCCAGGCACCGCCACTGGTAGCGAAGACACAGTCGGCAAAAGAGAAACAAGGAGTAGAGAAAAAGAAGGAAGAAGTCAGAAAGCCGTTTGACCAAGCATTACAAAGTGATGGTGAGAACGTGCTGGCTAAGCCGATCACCAAAGTGAGCATACTGATACGATATTTCTAAATCCACACACCACAAGCCGGTAAAAATTCATAGATTATGTGTCGAAGATCAAACTTCCTTTAAAATTTTGCACAAAAGCACGAGCACTTTTTAAAGGGCTAACCTATGAAGAATTTTATCCCCTATGTCCCCTTGATGGAATCACCAACGATTGGTAATTATCTAATCTATTACTCTAATTTCATAGATCATTAAGCCATCCATCCCTCCGGGATCGGCAAACTGGTACCAGACTGGTCTCGACTTGTCTGGGAGGATAACTAGCTCTTACTATGCCATCGCGAGTCACTGGAAGGGCCAGATATGAATTTATTCACCTCAAACGAAGTTAAAAATTTGAGATGATTGAATGGCGCATCCCTCAGGGTATGATCAAGGGCAAAAGCTTTATCTACTTATCCTTCTATATAATTCCAGATTTATGCGAAGATAATGCAAGCAAGGAGATCGCTGTTTCTGTTTCAATATCATGACGGTGTTACCAACACAGCAAAACAGCATGTGATGCAATATTGCGGTACCAAGCGAGGATATGAGCTTAATTTTCCATTTGGTTTGCTTCAGTTTAACTATTTCGACGTCTGTTCAGCGTCACACTTATTCAGCCTTAATAACCTTGCATTCTCTTTTCGCCTTATTCTGACATGTGTTTGTTACAGAATGCATGATGCTCTTGAGGATACAGAAGAAACGCTTTCTGAATGACTCAGTGTTTGATCGGCCTCACTGTGGTGCCGGGTGAAAATATTCTTCTGCACGAGTATCGAGAACAACAAGATTCGTTGGCTTTGCGGAGAGGATACACGGTTGGCGAGTATGTTTTTACTCCACACTGAAGTATTTTACTATTGGTTCATTTTCAAAATCAAGTGAACTGAGAATTTTGTTTAACGGTTTCTAACAACGGTGAAGATCGAAGAACCATCTTTTGATGTGTGAACTTCATATAAGTGGTGAATCCCAATATTTTGTTGTTTATGGTCTTCCACGAGGTCTGTGTATTTTTTACAGCTTCAGCAAAAAACGCAAAAATCGAGAGGTCAAACTTTATATATCAAAACTCTCCTTCAACAATGTGTTTTGCCGTGCATGTAATTCTGTAGTAGTATATTTTTTGTTGATCAAGCCTTCAGCTCAAAGCTGACAGAAGTAGATTTATACGGGTAGCGTCTGACGTCTTCTTTTTCTTAAAGCCAATGATCCAAGTCGATTG